AAGGAGCCACACCACGCTGTTCAACACCTGTGTTTTTGCATGTGTCCGTGGTGAAGAGGGTTACCCACTGTGTGCTTGTCTCCTGCCTCTGCAGCTTCCCTGAGCTCACCTGCTTTCTGTTTGTGTTGCCACCCTTCTTCTGGTGGGTCAGGAGTAGCGTGGAGGGGGGACCTGCCTTGGTCACGTCACTGGGAGGGTTATCTCGTTTCTGTCGGAGCACTAGCCCTTGTGTTTCAGTCCTACAGGGAAGAGCTGGAGAGGGAACAAGCATTGTGTGCAAGAATTGAACGAGATCTGGATGAGGCCACACAGAGGCTGATGATGGCCCAGGAAGAGATCCGGAGGCTGGCAGATGAGCTGGGTGCACAAAGAAAGGAGCAGAACAAAATAGGTAAGCGCTTCTCTTGTGGCCGCTCCTAATTATTGGCCTGCTCTTAGCCCACCCCTGGTTAGTGTAAGCCTTGGACTTCTCACGCAGGGGAGTTGGAGGCAGGCTCTCCTGTGTCCTCTCTGCTTGTAATGTGGAAAAATCAGTGTCAGATGTTAGCCTGGTACCTAGGAGATCTGAATGCAGTCATTAACAGTCACAAATCAATTAATTCTGAGTGGGGAAGGCTGAGACATAGGGAGAAATTCATGCCCTAGGAGGGGGATGGAGAGGAAAAGATGACTTGGTCCAGAAACAGAGCAGCTAAAATGCCACATACACAGCGTTAGCACAGCTGGCCCACTCATCTCTAGGTTCTTCAGATGCTGTGTTTGGGATGCTGCCTCGTTAGGAGCTGTTAACAAGTGCTCATAACTGGAGCTTAGTGGCAGTCTTGAAGTGACTGGTTAGATTCTTATCACTGCTAATATTTGCTTAACCTCCTCATTGAAATAACTGTTGTTGACCAGCCCTTAAGTATTACGTTTTTTAAAAAATATACTGACTAAAAATAAACAGTTTTCTGGAGGGAAATTGAGCTACTTGATAAAGCTCCTATTGGAGTGGTCCCTAAAACCAGTGCTTCACTGCTACTTCCTACAGGAGATTTCCCGAGCAAAACACTGGTTTCTGGATGCTTTTTCTCTGGGTTATTTACGTTGACCCAAAATCTGTGATGCAGAATTTCAATGGAGAACAGCAAAATGTGATGAGACAACATGCTCCTGCCCCATGTGCCTTTGCAGAGACTGGTTCACTTAAGGAGACTGGGACCACCTGGTAGGGTTTGTGTGTGAATCACAGGTCCTGATGCTGACCTCGCAGCTTGTGCACAGTGCTCAGACCTAGCTAAGCCTTCTAGCCAGCCTCCAAACCCATCATTTACAGCCTTTTAATCAAAGGCAGGGAAATGAGCACTCTGCGGGCATCTGCTTTGTGTATTGATTGATACACACGCGTCCCTGGGGATGGAGCGAGCGTTGCGTTGCAGCCTCCGAGTGGTACTGCTTCTCCAGAGTACGGACGGGCTGCTGTGTGCGACTGCTCTCAGTGGATTGTAGCCTGCGTGGGGAAATCAGTATTTTATAATCTTCTTAAGTATCAAATGAATATAAGGCTTTCCAAACCGTGAGTAAGGGTTTGATGCTTGTTATGTCCGTGTGGTTTATTATGCTGCGAGTATTAGTGTGCAGAGTTCATGTTATAACATCTTAGTGGCTTCCCCGATGACGTATGTCTGCGTGCCTTCTCCTCCTGACCAGCTTCAGAGCCAACTGTTGTGTAAATAAACTGATTTTCTAATAAAAACCTAAAATGAAATCTCTGTTCTTTAGTAAAGCTCCACTTAAACAGTGTATTTTGGTTCAATGATAACTTGCAGCCACTTGTTTGCATTGAAGAGAAAATGCAAGATTGCTCCTGGCCAGTTTGTAGCCCAGTTATCGGGTCTTTGGTGATGGTGATTAGAGATTTTAAACTGTGTGCCTAGCTGTCTGCTGCTTTAATTTTTTTCTTTAGTTTTCCTTCAACTTTGTCTTTAACAAAGTGCATTAAAAATGTTGCTGAGTTTTGTGTTCAGAAGCATACAAATGGACTGCCACAGCAAAACTCTTTCTGTTGTCCTTGTAGAATCAGCCTCGTGGCCAGCCCTGCAAGCACCTGAGCGCCGGGAGAAAGGGGTGAACGAATGGAGAGAGAGTGGTAAGTCATGCTATTTACGAGCCGAGAAGATCCAGAATTTTATCAAGGCTTTCTGTAGTGGTAAACAGGCTTTTCAGCAAAATGAGCACTTTGGTAGAAGGTGTTCCTTGCCTTTTATTTTAAATTACAAAACTGAAAATCCAATACAAAAATCCTTCTTTGAAACAGGGGTTTGGGGATGTGTGGGTTTGGTTTTTTTTTCCCCAGATTGGGACCAAGAAAGAAGGTTTGGTTTTGGGTTTTTTTTTTTTTAATAAAAATAAAATTTAAGCTGAAATTTCCTGTGCCCAGCATTAAGCTGAAAAGAGAAAAATCTTTGTTCACCTTTTCTGTAAGGAAAACTGTCTTCTCACTAGTTTTACTTAGGATTCAGATACCAGTGTATAGGCAGACACATTTCTATCAGTGTGCTCCTAATAGAAACATCTTTTCCTATTTCTTGCACGTGAAATACTAGATAGTCTGCATTCATTGGTGTGATGGTTGCATATGTTTATTGATTCAGGCTTGAAAGGCTGGTATACAACCATAATTTTTCCTGTACTGGCCATTCCATAAATATTAATGCTAGCACAACACTGATACATTAACTGTGATTGTGTTTCTGCTTGCAGCAAATTACGAATTTTATGATGAAAATAAGAAATATGGTAGTTTGGGTTTTTCAAAGCTTAACCCTAGTTGTTTGTGAAACCATACCTAAGTGTCTGAGGTGAGGCATTTTCCATGATCTAGAGGTAAACTGAATCCCTGGAATAACTATGGGGAGACTGCTGTGCTCCTATAATAAATACAGCACTGCTATTGAATCTGGATCTCCAGAAACATAAACCTCTGCTATGTGGGTAAGAGAACACGTTCCCGTATGTATGGGGAACTCCCCTCTGTGCTGTCGCACACGTACACCTGTGCATAAGGGCAACGCGATTTCAGAAACCTTGTTTGTGTGATAGCCGCCCTCCGAGCTTGGTCAAGGGCCAAACCAGTGTCGGTGACCGGATTTTTCTGTCCTCTACAGACAGGACTGAGCTACAGAAGGCCATGGAGCACAACAGCAGACTTGATTTGGAAAGAAAAGCGTTCCTTGATCTGGTGAGTACCCATCTCCTGCTGCTGGATCTCCTGGGCCGCTGTGGCACCAAGGAGCCTCTGCATAGCTGACGCTCCCGGACTGGCTCCTGCCATTCAGCCCTGCTCCTTAACCTGCCCTGCCTCGCTCTTTCCCCTGCCTTTTCTATAGCGAGTCTTTCTAGAGCTGCCGTTCTGATGTTTCGTGGCTCTGAGTAATAAACTTTGGGAAATGGGCAGAATAAATAACTAAAGAGTGTTTTAAAGCAGCTGCTGTTACTGCAGCCCTGAAAAAAATTCATAGCATCCTTCAGTGCATGATGAGTTCGATGCCTCACTAAACACAGAGGGGTTGTGCATGCTCAAATCGAGTATGTGCTTTAGGGCTTGCAGCACAGAGCCCTGAAATACCTGTTTTCCTGTGCCCAGTGCACAGGATCAGCTTGATGCTTTGTGTTCCTAGTCGATGTTTGCACAAAATCAAGTGGCTAAATAGAGTAAGCAACATTTCTACCTTTTCCTGGTGACTGTTATTAAAGACAGCGAATAAGTGTAGTCTAAAACCCAATACTAGCTATTTTTTAAACAAATTTAAATTTATGCTCGTGTTTTGATACCTCTCAGCCTCTGGCTTTTTAATGTGGCTACGCTGATTTGCTCAGTAGAAGATAAACTTATTCCTTTTCATTTTGTGTGGGCTTTCTTAAGTGAATGCCATTATTATTAGTTTAATGTTTGACATAATAAATCTAGGATTCTCTAAATGCAATAATCTTTATCAACAAGATCATTCCTTACTGAGATTGCCAATAGTGAATTAATATAACAATCTGTTTCCCATTAAAATGTGTCATTTAGCACAAATCCTGTTTCTGTTCTTAACTCTCAAACTCTTTATATCAGTCCTTCAGCAGCCTGTAATTGGTTGCTGGCAGTCTATAATTACTTATGCCATCCCAGCACAGATAGCTCAGCAGCTGTCTTGCGGGTCTCTTGCATTAAAATGAGTATTTTGAAATTAATATAAGTATCTCTGAGAACACCACCTCTTTGCAATAATATTGAAGACTTACTTTCTTGAATATAATTTATTCACATTTGAGGATTTAAAAATTTTAGCATGTAGTTCTGTTCCTTGCGTTTAAAAAAGTTTCTGGTTCTTCCTTAGCACAGTGTCTAAGCATATCTGTAATCTCAAACCTTGACAGTCTGTTTCTGAGTCTGTAAAAACATATTTTTATATATACATATATACATATACTTAGTTCATATTCCTCGGTTTATATTTTTTTTATTCCAGATAACATTTTCTTTAGGACACTGCTTCTTTCAGTCACTATGTATACATACACACGTGTGTATATATGTTTTTTTTTTAAATATATATTAGAAAAGAAATGTATGTGTGTGTGGTTTTTGTGTACATAAATGTAAGGTATTGTTTTCTCTGTACAGGAAAAAATATGTAGCCAGACTGAGATCACTTCCAACCAACCCTGTTGTTAAGTTAAAAGCAGATTACCTTTATTCCTTAGGAATGAGGTTTGACTGTTGGCATAGAAGTTAGAAAACCACGATTTTTCACTTGTAGAAGCTGAAAGTGTACTTTATTACGAGCCACGGGATTTCTGTGTCCTGAAGTCTTTTTTTTTTTTTTTTTTTTTCTGTGAGTTATGGACAGCTGGGTGAGGAGCAGGCTGGCCAGCTGGCTCTGGTTTGGTGGTCTGTGGGGCACAGACCTCGTCCCTGCTGTGCGCTCCACCAGTTGGAGTGTGGAGCCTTAACTGTGCAGGATCCGGTGTCTGTGGCGTGAGTGGGCTCTGCAGGTGCCTGTGAGTGTGGATGGAGGCATAGCACGAGGCTGAAGAAAGGAAAAATGCACGCTGAGAAGGTGGTGTGTGAAAGCTTTGCAACGGCTGATAGCTCCAGAGACTAGCAGTGCCGTTAAATCTGCAAAAAATGATAAACCTGGGACACCAGTGGTCCGCTGAACCTGTGCAGGGTCCCGGGCGTCAGCTGAAGCTCAGACGGCATCCACGTGTGCTGCTGGGCACGCTTGAAGAGTGCAGGGTTATATCTGCATCTGATGAAGGTGAGCACTGTCTGCAGGACTTCACGAACACCCATCCAGAAGCCACCACGGTGTGGCCCTGTGCTTTTGAGTAAATGGCTGCGGTTGGCCTCCCAGCTATTGCTCCAACTGGTAGCCAAGACTGAGTGTGCGAGAGAGTAAGTGACTGCGACATGAACAGTTACCTGCTAATAATAATATTATTGATCCTATCGATAACAGCAAAGACGAAAAGGTGTCCTCAGAAATAGGGGTTGTCATCTGTCTACCCCTCTGCACTCAGTCCTGTTCGGGAAAAGGGAATGTGCAACATGTGCATGATCAATAATTGAAATAAATGAAGAAAAATTGCTTACCTGTTGATGCAGTGTGTCATTTCCCCTTTTACTGCTCTTTACCTTTCTAAGCAGACTGAGGACACCCAGCTGGAGCAGCCACATGATCTCACCCAATGCCTCAAGCTGAGTGGTTAATATTAATAAATCTGCAGTTTATCTATAGCAAATTTGTGGGGAATCTTAATTCTCTAAGACAGCAAGGTGAACGTTCACCAAAAATCAAAGCGCGTGTTTTCCTTTTGAAGGTTGAACAGCTCAAAGAGGAGATCTGTGAGTATCAGAAGAGTGAGAAGCAAGTACTTCCATTGCCTGCGCCAACTGAGACCGAAGAAGTCGCAGCGTCCTCGCTGCGGTATTTTCAAGGGCTTTTTGTTTGCCATTCTAGAAAGCAAATTGGGCAAACGGGCCCCGCTCTGCATTTGAGCCCCATGCCATAAATGAAAAGGCACGGCTTGCAGTGCAGAACCGCTTGTGTTCTCCTGTCTATGTTTGTGTGAGTGCATCCTGTGCAGGTGTGACATAGGATTTATGCTGGGCGTGACAAATACACTCGTGTGTAGAGCATGTCTGTTGGCATAAGTTAATACCCACTAGTGCCTTCATATTATTATGGCTCTTGGGGTTTTTTTTTCCTCCTATCGCTGGAGGATTATCTAATGCAGATAGAGTAGCAGACGTAGCTCATGTTTTCTAGTTGCCTTATTTATGAAAGACTCGGGTAGCTTTGGAATCACGTTGTGCTAAGATTTCAGTCTTAATTATGTACCAACTTTTCATTTTCTCTTCAGTCACAGGCCACAAAGGATGAAGGGAGGGTGGAAGGAGACTACGTTTCAGGCAAAGCTGGCTCAGATCAAGATGGCAAATACCAGAGTAGTGAAACACTTCATAAAAGGTGAGCAATGTAGAAATCCTTCTTCATCTGTTGTATTTTCATTGTGGCTTATCTGGTGCTTTGGTTGCTGGTATTCTGCCTCGCAGAGTGCATTTAAGTGTTGGGTTATTTAGAATACTCTTCGGTACCAGCTTTGTTCCTCTGCTCCCAAATCAGAAAGTTTGGAGGTAATGCAGTCCTCAGTGGGTCTGTAGCCCTTGGTATCAAGAATGCGGGCTGTTTTCTGGTACTTTCTAGGGTTGGGCTTTTGTGGCCCTCTGCAGACAAAAGTGTTGTTTTCAAAATTGTTTTGCTGCTGGGAAGATTTGTCTGGATTTGATTCCTGTCCAGGGGTGTACCAAGACAACTTGGCTTTCAGACTTAAATACGTAAACTGGAATTTTTAAGGGAAGTCAGAGCTTCATTCTCCTGTGGCCTGCTCAGGAAGCTGCTGCTGAGCCTCTTCTGGCAGGTTCAAGGAGGAAGGGGGGGTCTGATCCCATCCCTCTGTCTTAATTTTTTTTTTTAATTTTTTAAAAAATTTTTTGCCCTTCAGATGCCCAAGCCTGTTCCTCCACCTCAAGCAGTCGAATTTGGCATTGCCTCTCTGCTGTTACCATCCTCCTGCCTGACCAGTTTTCACCCCAGACCTTCATCATTACTTGTGTAGAGCCCATCACCGATAATTCCCATGCATTGCCACATAAATAAGAGCAGGCACAGGTCATGCTGGATGCGAGACTCGAAATTAGCAGGAGAGAAATATTCCACAGTGAAAAACACATTGGGTCTTCCTCACGGGTGGGTTGGATGTGTGTCAGTGTGTTTACGTAGCAGTTCTGGCCTTGGTGATGTCAGTCTTTGGTGCACAGGTGCCGAGAGGTGATTGAAAACATCAAGGGCAGGAATTCACAGCTCCTTCACAAGCTGCAAAAACTGGAGCAGGAGCATGAGGATTTGGTTGAGCGCAATGAAGAGCTGGAATCAATCCTGAGAGAGACACAAATCCAAACCAAGCAGGAGAAGGAACAGTTTGAGAGTGAGGTGGAGGGACTTCACCGGAAAGTAAGTAAGGAATGGAAGAAATACTGTTTGGTTTTGTTTAATTCTAGCTGCTTTTCTCTCTGCACGTTGATTAGTAGAATAAAACGTTTGACCTAAGCCTGCATGCTGCTTTGTTTAGTTTGACAAAAAGTGCAGCTAGTAAAATCTGCTGGTTTCAGGAGAGAGGGGAAAAGAAGGAAAAAATCCCAGCAGTGAGTAAATGACGTTTGCTTGGAGGTGCAGATTCCCCCATGTCACAGCAGCATTGTCTTTTCCAGCTCCCATCCTTGCTCCTTGGTGCTTGGGCAAGCAGAGTTAACTTGCTAATGTACCTCCTGCATCCTCGGGAGTGAGATCAGGCAACACTCCCTTCCCACATAGCCTTTCTGTACCTGTGGGCTGTGCACCCTTCAGTTTCTTGGCTGAGCTGAAGCAAAGCCTTTTTGTTTGAAATTCAAGTTGCATCTTTTTTCTCTGGAGCTATTTCTTCTGAACCTCTTGTAGCTTAGAAGCTCTTATTTCCCCTGAGAGCGGTCCTAGATGGCATCAGTGCTCCTGATGGATTTCAGTGTCTGTCTCCTGCAGGAACTGCTTTTCCACGTTGGACAGTTGTTTCTTCTGCTCCTGCAGTTCCTAATGAAGAGAAAGTTCCAGGAAGCCTCAAGTCCTCTTGAGGCTCAGAAGAGAGGCAAGAGGTTTTCCTGAAGCACATGAGTTGTCCCTTAACCTGGCACCCATGACAGAAGTCCAGGCTTTTACTTGAATCCCTAACCCCTCTCCAGACCTGTCCAACAGATGAAAATGGTCAGTGTGGGACACTGATGCTCCTTGATCCCAGGGAAGGTCACCAGTTAAGCATGCTGATGACAAAAGATTGTGCTTTGGCTTTTCCCCAGGCACAGCATCTTGGAGACCTGTCAGCCCATGTGGCAAACACCGAGGCACTTCTGGGTGTGGGGGGCCAGGATCTGCACTGCCTGGAGACATCCCTGCTGAAAATACCAAATTTGAGGGAACAGTGAGCTTCTCTCATCACCTGCTATCTCTTGCTGCAGTGTCCCCTGCTGAATGGGGCAGGCATGGCTGGACACATCTTTTTGAAGAGCTGTGATAAGCTGATGCATCTGGAGAAGCTCTGCTCAATCTTGATTGAGATGTGATCTCACCATTCTCTCTCTCTCTCTCTCTCTCCCTCTCCTGTGTCCTACTCGATTTTGGGCACCCTCAACCCAGGGCAGTCTGGATCTTTTCCTGTTAATAGGACAAGACCATTCAGATCACGCTTTGACTTTAGAAGGTTGATAGAAAATCTTTGTTATTTCCACTCGTTTGCATGTGACAGTCAGGCAACCTCTGGGAAATTGCGGAGGTGAAGCACCATGTTGATTATCTGGTTTACCAGAACCATGGCAACATCAGAGGTCTCCTTGCAACACCTGCAGAACCATCTCCATCCACGTTTTGAGCAAGGATTAAGTTATTGCTGAAGCTTCTCAGCCTGATGCTGCCTTTGTCAGAGAGGTCCTTAGTCTTGATTTACTGGATGGACTTCCCATCCCTCTGGAGGTAGCTCCGTGAGAAGCACCTGCTCTTACTGATGGGTTTGTGACTGCTTGCCCCCAGGGAAAATACCATTTGCAGCATTTGTGCAGCATCACTACCAGGGTATGTGATCCCTTATGGACAGGGCAGCTGGCGAATTTCTAGCTAGAGAGAACAGAGGAAGCCAGAAGCTGGTCTTGCTAGATGGATAGGTGGGCTTTTCCCCCAAAAGGCTGGCTGAGGACGTCTTTTCATTTGGCTGAAGCCCTGCTGTCTGGCCAAAAGCTCTTCCTTCCTTGGGCTGAGTCGCCTTTTCCCCTCTGTCTGTGGCTAAGAGATGCTCTCTGTAGTGATCGTGGTCCTGGATTGCCAGGCAGCAGGACCAGTCCGTAGAGGACCTTGGATTTCTGAGGTGAGGGGGAAGAGCACACACAGGTTTTCAGCCAGGAGTGAGCAGTGCTTGGACATGTCTGTACGCTTGCTGTTGTGTTAAAACACGATGTAGGAGATGGTACAAGTGTGAAGGCATATCCTACGTGAATGCTGAAGCAGCCACACATCTCCAAGATGAGCTGTTCAAAGGAAGAAAAGATGAATTACTTGTCAGTAGCCTCTGGCTGCGAGGAAAAAGTCTCTAAACACAGTGAAACAGACTGAAGGCATGTTCAAATATCTTAATGAAGGATGCCAGCAGACATCATGTTTCTAAGTGTGTAGCTGAGGAGCCAAGGGCAGGCTCTCTGATGGGAATGGCAAAAGGTCTGTCCACCCTGACTGCGTTTGTCCAAATTGGAGTTTGTTCAGCACACACTAAAATGTTTCCCACTTTATCCCTGAAGTAGAATAAACACAACCCTCCACAAATCAAACAAGATGCGTTTTCAGTTAGGAGAAATCCCTTCTTCACTTGGTGCGTTGTTAAACAGATCCCTGGGAACACTGCTTTTGGGGATGCAGGGTGAGCGCAGCGGGGAGCACCGAGTAGCCAAGGAGATGCGAGGCATTTCAGTTGGCATGAGCTTGGCAGCCGCTGTAGCTGAAAAAGAGACAGAAAAGAGGCACACAGGGCAGCGGAGGAGAGACAGGCAGATTGCGGGACGGAAGAGGAGGTGGGTTGAACCTCAGCTAAATCCAGTGTCTGCTCAGATGGAGGGCTGCAGAGCTGCACCTTTCATCTCCAAGGAGCTTTTGGGTGCCTTGGAGGTAATGAGGGAAGGACTGCACAAAGGCAGGTGCGCTAGAGCCTGGAGAAGGGAGTGCTGCTGGGTGTTTGCCAGGCTGCCCCATGTGAGAAGGACTTGGAAGCCTTTCTATTTTGGCACGCCTACAAAAATCTTGGCTGATTAGGCCACTGACTCAGAACGAGGACACCGGCATACAATGTGAGTATTGTTCTGCTGTTGGCACGGGACTTACGTGCGCAGCTCAAATGCTTAAAAATTAGTGGCTTGGAGGTAAAATAAGCAAAATGATGGAAATGCATTGCTGGGTATCAACTTCATGACCAAAGGTTGGCTGGGGGGTGGGAAGAGGAGGTTTATTGTGCTTTTGAGATCCCTTCCACAGCTCTAATGTCCTTTTGAACCCCAAACTATCATCTAGTCATGTGAGAAGAGGGGGGGTTTATTGCCCTCTAGCTCTTCTGTAAGAGGCCTGGGTGTTTCACCCCACTGATTTCCTTTTAACACCTAGGTTGGGTAACATCATCTGTCTTAAAAAAACATATTACAGCAGCTTTCCTCTGTTAAAGTTTATTCCCTGCTGGGAGCTTCAAGAGAGCCATCTCGTGACTGAAGCCTGTCAGTGAAAGCAAAGCTCCTGGGCTTTGACATGCTGCTTTGTAATCACTTTAAATGGACTGGGATTGGCAGAGACTTGGGACTTCTTTGGCTTTGGCTTCCCATTGGCACGGAATGAAAAATGATCTCTGAATAAGCGCAACAAAAGGAGCGTGAGAAAGGCATAAGGCATCTTATACGCTTCACCATGCACTCATCTGTATGAGTGGGGCGATGGATGTTGCTTGTGTGGGTACGGGGTATGCTGCGTACAGATGAAGCTGGACTTCATCTGCAGCTGGACTTCATCTCCTTCCAGTGTCCCCACTTGCTCTGCTGCCTCGTTCAGTGAAAGCCTGGCTCGGGCAGTGGGGAGGCAAGCTTGGTGGTTTAGAAATAAGAAAACCAGCACGAACTTTCTGCCAAGCATAAGGAGCTGAAAGGAAAGGCTGCTGAATGCTGTGCTGGCTGGCAGTGGAGCAGAGTGGCTGTGAGTGCCAAGACTCAGATTTTGCAAAAGTGTCTGCAGGAGCCATAATTAGGAGGAGAAGCTGGACTGCTCCTACTTTAAGTCCTTTAAAACTGCAGGACTAATAATCGTTCCCATGAGATTTCCCCACAAGGGTAGATGCCTCGGTGGGGGGGGATGGTGCAAATGCAGAGGGAGCACTTGTCCAGACAAACTCTTTTCTGCCAGGAGTAGTACAGAGGTCAGTGTTTTGCTGGCTCAAGTCCAGAGCCCTCGGAACCTTGCAGGAGGCAGTTACAACCTCCTTTGGGCGGTGGAGGGACCAGGACAAGTCCTGGTAGACTGGGTCCAACATCTGCTTGGATGAGATCAACTGCAGGGGAGTGAGCACTGCAAGAGGATGGCCCACGATATAAATCGGTGTCTCGTGGGGTCCTCCGTGTTGGGAGAGCAGCATGTAGAAGGCCCGCAAGCTGTGGAAGCCTTGAACTTTCACCATGTATCTGGGTCGTTTCTCTCCTTTTGTGGAGCAGGGTTCTTTCATTTTCTGACTTGACCTTGGATGGCCCCTTCACCCTTTGAAGCAGCAGGATGAAAGATGTGAGCTGGAGCTAGCCCACACTGGGCGGCTGTCCACGTCCCCTCCTACTCCTCGCTTCCAAACATGGGGCTTATTCTGTAGTAGCAGCACAAGGAGCAATTTAGTAGTAGATGTGCATTTAGTACTAGTGCTGAGTACTGGTTTGGTTTTAACTTGCGGTTTGTCTATGTTAAGATCACAAGTTTAGAAACAGAGTTACTTGAAGTGCAGAAGAACAAAACTGAGATGAGTGGGGAAGAGCAGGCATCGCCTGGAGCACAAGAGATGCAAGAGGTAAGAGGTTTTCATTGGGAAAGAAATCGTGTTGTTTAGAAACATAATAAATGAGCATCTCCTGTGAATGCTCTTTGTCACCATCTTCTGAGAATCTGTAGCTCACGCAAGGCAGATGGACGTCTTTAGAGGAAAGCAGAGCTTGTTGACTCCCCGGTGCGGGTGAAGGGTTTACACACGTAAAGGTGCTTCACTCTTGTTTAGGGTTTAGTAAAACCTAGGTAGTGCATAGGTATGTTTTCAAGGCTGTTTCCCAGCTGGTTTTGGGATGACTTTGCTGTTGATTTGTTACTTGCCAGCCAGCCAATTGGATCTGCCAGGTGTATAAGCCAGACAGAGCTTATTCCATTTGGGAGAGGACCTTCCCAAGGTTTCTTGGGTCAGGTGGATGCTCCAGGACTTCAGAGATGTCCAGCCAGCCCTGGGTATAAGGTGCAGGAACCCCACTGGCAACTTTTGAGAACCATTTTTCCTATCCTTGTTTTCTAGAAGACACATTTTCTGCAATTTGTTTCTCTTTTGCTAGAATAAATGATGCTGTACACATGACTCTTAATTTTGCTTGTTCCAGATGCTGGAAAGCTGTCAGGAAACGATAGAAAAGTTGGGAAGTCAGCTGGGAGAGCGGAGAGAACGGAGAAAGCAACTTGCATCTGAGCTTGAACTGTTACGAGAAGATCTGAAGGCTGAGAAGAAGGTATTGGGCAGCCAGGTATGTATAGCTCCTACAGTGGGACTCCCTGCAGGAGGCAGTTGCCTCTTGTGACTCCATAGAACATCCCCAGTTGCCCCCCAGGTGTGTTGCTTGACTTCTCTTGATGCATTTCTCTAGCCAGTTTCAAAGCTTCTTTGGTAGATGGTTTTAAATCCATCTGCTTTAGTAGAACTGTCTGTAACTCTGTAATTTATTTTTCCTTTCAGTGAATCTAATAACAAAATAGTAATTCAAAGTTTGTAGCCAAAGCCACCTTCTCTAGAGGGCAGAGTGGAAGTTTTCAGACTTAGGTATTTATTGCAGAGTTATTTGTGTCCATAAGGCTCATGATCATGAGCCTTCATCTCTTCGTGTCACAACATGGCAGGGTACTTGTAGATTTGAGCCCAGACCTCCCTGCAGAGCAACATCACGGTTACCCATTAGCAGCAATTGCTTTTCTGAGGTCAGTCAACTGGCTAATTCTGAATCTGTTTAACATGGGTCCCCTTTAATGTTAGTAGTATCTTTCTTAACCAGGATATGGCACGATAAGAAGTCAGAACACCTAAGAGTCAGAGAAGTCTACACAAGTAGCTTGCTGGGATCCCAGCACTGCTTTTTGTTACATGCCCTAAGGACCTCAGTACACTTTGCTTGAACGGATTTAACTGCTAGATAGACTTCTGGTGAGTTTACCTCTCCTGGGAGAGTTGCTGGTGCTCTCATCTTCCAGCTGGGCCATAGAGGAGAGAGAGCATGTGACGCCAGCAAAATTGCACAAGGGCTGGTGCAGACATAGGCAGGATAGGGGCTGAAAATTAGGCTAAAAATGTAGGAGAGCTGCAGATCTGTGGCCTGGATCAGGCAGACAAGGGGGACCTGAGGGAGACTGGCAAAGGGCAGGTTTACATCTACTACAAAACCCATTTTTTAGCACTCTGAGAGGCCTTAAACCATATCACTTCCTTCAACGTAAGTAAAAAACAATGAAAGTTCTGAACTGTTGATGCAACTGCACATACACAAGAGTCTTACTGGAGGAACAGTGGCATCTAGAGGACAGGACTTTCGTGGTGCTGTTAGGCAACAGATTCACATTGTAAAAGCTCGGGATGCAAACCAAGCCTTGCCAAAGTGCGGTTTAGGAAGGGACCAGGTCAGTCTGTGAATATGCACATGAAAAGGAATTGTCTGATTTGGGGGATGATGGGGAAAATGGGAAGAGTCACTCTTTAACTTTTGGATCCCAATAGTTCAATCTACCCATGGTCTGGGGACCTTTTCATAGAATCATTTAGGTTGGAAAAGACCTTTAAGATCATCCAGTCCAACCATTAACCTAACGTTACTGAGTCCACCACTAAACCAATTAAGGGTAGAGTAGCAACCCCACGCGTCCTGGCTTGGTGGCTGGATCATTTATAATGAAAGTATAAACTAGGAATCATTAAGATTGGAAAGGACCCCTAAGATCATCAGTCCAACCATCCACCCAAAACCCCCATGCCCACTAAACCATGTCACAAAGTGCCATGTCTACCTGTTTTTTGAACTCTTCCAGGGATGATTTTAATCAAAATCGTACATCCCTGCAAGTTTGGTTGTAATTCAGCCAATTCACCAGCTGGCTGGTGGTTTTGCCTAAGGAGAGGTCTGTTTTTCCATCAAAGGGATCATGAGACGAAATCTGATGACCTGTTTTTGACTGGACGGCTGTAACAGTCTTTAAAATAGAGAACTTTGCATGTACTTGGTGGGATTTCTGACTTCACAAATGGGTTCATTCCCTTTTGCTAGAGTAGCTGTATTGGGATGAATCATTTATGAACTGAGTGCTGGAAGTTAGCTTGGCATGAAATCATTGGGTTCTCATGGGTGATATGCAGCTGGAGGTCAAGATCTGAGGTTGTTCAATGTTGTGTTTGTCAGGATGTCCAACACATAGAATGGGAAAGTAAATTGGATAGTATTTTTGTTCGTGTAAATTTTAATGATGTGCTATGAACTGATGCTATGCAAAGAGCTCTTTGCATTTGTTTGGAACTCTCTTCTTGTTTTTAAGAGGTTTTTGGACATTTGAGAGGAGAAAGCTTTTTCTGACCTTGTAGTTAGGGGTGTATTACATCTGCTAACTCCTGTTGTTTCCTCAGCATGGGTTGCCTGACTCACAATCAGAGTTTACGAACCATTGTAATAACTTCCCGAGTCTCCAAAGAACATCAGCAAACAGGGATCTCATTAACGTATCCCATGAGAAGCTACAAAAGGATAATGCTTTGTTAGATACATAGGTGAGGAATGCAAAGAAATCCCCATTGTTCTGGTGTCTGATGCAGACAGAAACTGCTAGTGTATATTGCTCAAATATAAATAAATTCATCTTGGTGTAGATAAGAAGGCTTGGAATTGAAATATTAATGCTAGCATACACTCAGGAAGAGCTATTGGTTAAAAAGCTTTAGGAATCAAAGTCATAGCTGGCATTTAGTGGACTTAATAGCATTGTTCTTTGAAGGATTTGGTTTCACCACTGCTTAGCAGAGCATGTTAGACTGGGCAGATTCAGGTTCCGATCCAGTCTGGGAGTTCCTGTGTCCTTATGTACTCCTTGTGTCTTCCCTTCTTGCCCCTTTTATTTTCCTGGCATCTTCTCTTCATGTTTCAGGTTTTGGGTCTGCCATTGCCTGGTGCTAAGGCATTAGGTGATGTTGAAAGTGGAGAGCAGCCATCTGTAGAAAGTTGTTTTGGGTTCACTTGGATGGAGGTTGCTCTCTACGTGAGACAGCTGAATACATACCTTGTACTCTTCCCATTTTTCCAAGAATTGCTAGTTTTGTAAAGAAATATGGCACATGATATAAAGCCCTGAGAACTACAGATGGGCAACAGAAGGATGAAATCAAATAAAGAAACATGATTTGATGATAGTTTACATGCAGCTACTTCCCAGGCAGAAAAAAAGGACTTGCACGTATATCTTTAAGGGTGAAGAACTACAATACTTTAGCTACAGAATCACAAGCCATGTCTTGATGAAGTCCCCAGATGGCCTTATACTGCTCAAAAGGTTTCCATGAGACCAAAGAAAATCAAAGTCGTGGTGTTTTCTGACCTTACAGGTCTCTGAACTCCTACAAGAAAAAGAACAGATTAACAAACTTGAGCAGAAACATGAAGATCTATGTACAGATGAAAGGATGTATGAAGAACAGATGGCTAAAGTAGTATTTTTGGAAGAACAGATCAAAAACTTGAGGGATGAACAAGAACTGCTTTGGTAAACCTTAACGAGGCCTGTGGTACTTTCTCTTCCTTCTTTGCTGACGAATTTTTTTAGACTTAAAAATCCCTGTAGTGCTGCTTCTGGCAAAAATAGGCACAGCAGCTTTGTCTTCCTTATCGGGTAAGCATTTCCCTTAGTTGACATCATGATCAGTCAGGAGTAAACCTTTTTTGTGCAGCTTTTCCAGATTCTGAACGGCATAAATGAGAGCTGTCCTTAGGGAGGAGGCCTCTTCTCTTGGAGTGAGGTAGTACTTGAACTAACACAGTCCCAAAAAGTTCCCATCGGGCGCTTGGGCTCTTTGGGGCTAACTGTTGCCAGCAGCGGGTGATACACATCCTGCTGTGGATTTTGGTTGTCCTTGGAGGGCAGGTGTCAGCAGGCGTTGGGGTTGTAAATAAAGCTCTTGCAGGTCCCCTGACTCCCCTTCTTCAGCAGAGCAATACGAATTGGGAGTTGGAGCATCCATGCTCAGGCTCTCATTAGTAAGTAAAAGCTTGGATTAAATCCAGTATAGTTACAGTCAGCTCAGTTACCTGGATAACTAGGTACTGAGATAAAGTAAAACCAGGATAAGAGAGGTAGGTTAGCTTATAGGGACATATAGCTTGGATTGAGATAAGTGAGGCAGCTTGACTGGGAGACCTGAGACCGTACTTCCATACAGCGAGGTGTTGTGCAAGTGCTTCTGTGCTGCTTGTGAGCGCAGACCAGCTCACGTGGCCCCATGTGAGTGTTTCCTTAGCCAGCAGTTAACCTACTCATGAATGGCTGGGAGCTGACTCTTTGGACACACATTTTTTTTGTGGGTCAGTGTCCAGGGGAGACTGACCCTTGCCCAGAACTGCTAGACCCAGGATTAAATCCCCTTTGGAGCCTCCCGAGACACTTGAGTGTTGCTTTGAGCGTTTAACTGGACTCTCATATCCCAAGTTTTTCCCCTTCGGGGGGTGGTTTCCCTTGGATCTGTATAGTTATCTCTCTCCTTTACTATTTCTCCTTCAAGTTCTGAATTACTAGAAAGCAACAAGAAGAGGGAGGAACTAGAGAAGCAGCTAAAAGAGAGCAATGAAGAAAAACAGTTGTTACTGGAAGAAATTGCCCAGCTAAACCAAGATATCCTGACTACCCGAGAGCAGGGCTACAGCATGCTTGAAGAGACTTTGAGGAAGAATCAAGGCATGGCGCATAGAGAGAACAAGTTTCTCCTGTCGCAGAGCTCTGCAGGCAGTTTAGATGGGAGCGTTAAACAGGTATGGGCAGCTTTGCCATCTGCACCGTACTTTTTTTCGCTAATTTAGTGGCAAAACCTGATTAAAGTGTATCGGAAGCCAGTCCTTGCAGTGTTGTAGAGTTAGCATGCTTGGGGAGATGAGAGGCTGACTGATTTGCTTGGGGAAAATGTTTGGAAAGTAGGAATGTCATAATTTCCTTCCGTCATGTTTTTGGACATAGTGGGAACTTGGATAAGCTGAATGTCCCCCTTAGTACACATGAAAGAAATGAGTTATACAGTCCTTAGATGATGTTTTAAACCTTTTGGAGCTCTTTCTCAGCTCCTTTTTGGAGTGTGAACAACAGAGCTGGATTGCTATTCCCACAACAGTCTTGCTCTTGCTGTAGGTAGAAGCTGTTCCACTTCCCTGCTGCTCCTTGCGATTTTCTGCTCTTGCATGCCAGCGCTTGAACTCGTCCCGTAACTGCTGCCCCGCAGTGGCAGCTCACAAGCTGCTGGGTTTTGCTGCAGCCCTGTGCCCGTGTCTCAGTTACTGATCTCCAATTGCTCTACCAGCTGGCAGGCAAGACCCCTATTTGTCACTAGGTTTAGCTGTGTTTTAAATGCCATTTGTTCACCTTTCTTACTGTGTGATATAAAAAAGAAGGGGAAGAGCAGCTAGCCCTGCCAAAAGGGGAAGAAATGATGAAGGTACCCAGGACGGGGAGTCTGAGGAGGAGCAAGGATTATATGCAAGAGTTTGGAAGAGAAGAGAGGATGGGGTGGCCTGTAGGCAGGAGCGAGAGTGGAACAGAGAGGATCAGCGTCGTGCTGATACCAAGAAGCAGCAAGTCTGTACAGTGAGTCTGTACAAGGCGTAGCGGGGATACTGAAAAGGGTCCTGATAGAAGCAGCTGGGGGAAAAAACCACAAAATCTAATGGATCTTGAGGGCTGTCGTGGTT